GAATTCAAGTTATGGGTCATCTAACCCACCCCCCTCCATCTCATAGGTGCATCTCCTTAACCATACGGCCTACGTGACTGCCCTTCTTCCAATAGTGAAGAGAATTTGTGTGAAGTCATCTCATGGCTCTAATATCCATGATTCCAGCAGTATGGGTTTCCAGTCCCAAGGCCACAGGGTCGATGGTTGTAGTTGACTCCATATTCGGTCCCACCATCTTCAAAGCCATATAGCACCAGGGCATTGCATGAACACATGCTCTATAGTTTCAGGGATCAATCTACTAGGGAAAACAAATTTACAGAATCTACACCAGCGTGAGGTAATTCCCTTCTGCTCTAAGGAGGATTTGTCTATCAACCAATCATATGTGGGCAGACACCTATGTTCAATTTGCCATTGAAGTGATACCACTTTTGCTGGTTTAGACTTCGTCAATCTGAGCCATTTTATTGATCTGACCTCTTCCCTACTGAGATTGAGGTGTTTCATCCAACTGCCAGACACTCTATCCTTTAGGTTGATTCTTACTCTTAAAGTATGGAGAGCCCGGTTGATTTCTCCCCGCGCTAAGACCTACGCCTATTTTTTGCTTATCTCATTGGCTGAGAAGGTGCGTGAATGAATAAATACGGTGCAGTGTATGTTGCATTGAATTTGTGTTAAGACCACAAACATCGTCTTTTCGAAGTAGATCGGGGGTAGGTCAATTGTATGCCTGGCTAGTTGGTGTTAACTCTGTCGAAGGCTGCCGAAGGCAGATCATGTGCACACATGTATACTGATGAAAAAACGGTCACCACGTATATGAATGTCTGCATGATCCATCTCATGCCTGATCGCCTCTTTCACGCCTAGATGAATGAACTGGACCTTTTTTGCGAGATATGGACGTCGGCATTCCCTTTCTGGGTCACTGACCGTGACTGTCTGAGGGACCCTGAGTACCGAAAATACTGGCAAAACGAACAACTCTTCCGCCAATCGAACTTAAGGCTTCTAGCCTATCCCTGCCAAACTGAAAACAATCAGCTGTGTGCCTGGGATTTCCAGAGGGCCATCGTACGAAATTATAGAATCCCGGATTACCACGACACCCGTAACCACCAATATTATGTGAAACAGGGATTCGTCGCCATCGAGACTAACTTCCCTCCCTTCTTTCTCCTTCTCCATTATCATAAGCTAACGATCGTCCTTGGGATGCGATAGCCCCATATTGACCCCGAAGACCGTGCTCGGAGTGTCAACAACATTATGCCTATTGGGCCGCAAGATTTATCATCGTACAAAATCCTAGAATACCGGATTACCCCGACACATGTAACCACCAGTATTACATGAAACCGGGATTCGTCGCCATCGAGACTAACTTCCCTCCCTTCTATCTCCCTCTCCCTTATCATAAGCTAATGATCAACCTTGGGATGCGATAGCCCCATATTGGCCCCGAAGACCGTGCTCCGAGTGTCAACAACATTACACCTATCGGGCCGCAAGATTTAGCAGACGAACCCGTTCCGAGGCCGAGCTCGGATAACACTGTCTCTGGCTGAGGCCGTCCATGTCGGATTCTGAGATCTGCGATACCCACGGATGACAAGTGTTTACACAGAGAGACACCCATTGTGCTCCCTCCGTACATGGAATACGACCCCGCCCTTGGCAACGGTATCGGCGAAACTAGCCGCCCAGTCCTGAGAATGGTAAAACATAAAAATCTAGTCCTTCGCCTAACCACTTGCGCTTCTGTCCTTGAAACTTTATGAGATCTCAGTTCTTACCTGGGACTCCCACTCCGAAACAGGAAGTCGCGCTGGGCGTGAGGTTGGGCGTCACAGTCTCTACTGCAACCTGCTCGGCTATCCATGAGCCACACATTGTTTTTTTTTTTTTTTTTTTTTTTTTTTTTTACACATACTCACGAGACCCCCATCCTACCACCTCTCTCGATATATTTCCTGGCGCACCCCCAGTCTTTTTCTATCTTACCTCATGCGAGGAACATCACTCTCCACTGGAGCAAGCTGACCAGACAGCGGACGAGGGCACTGACATTGAATGATCTCCCCCATTTAGCCCCAGTTGAGGCACTAGCGTACAAGCCCCGTTTATACGGGTACCTTGGGAGCTAGGCCCGAAGTTCTCAATTAGTCCCGTGAGCTATGAGGGCACCCATAGGCAGTGTCTAATGGTCAGCTAACCAAGGTCTAACCCATGATGAGCCCCCTACCTCTCTAAGCACCCAAACCGGCACGGAGCGGTTCATATATGGCTAATATGGCTACTATTGGTTGTTCGCAGCCCTTAGGCTGCGGTATAGTGGGCTTCCGCGTCTGTGTCAAGGTGTCGCATTTTTGGTGGCGGGCGATAAGGACGCAAAGTGGGTTCTTAGGGGGCAAAAAAATTTGGGGGACCGGTCCTTGGCAAAACTGCGGACTACCTACAGCTAGCTCTGGTAAAACCGGGACTTTTGGAAAAGGGAAGGACCGGTCCTCGGGTGGAAGTGGACCCCAAAAAGAAGTGGGGGGCATTGGACCTGACCCCGGGTAGAAGCGGACCCCAAAAAGAAGTGAGGGCACGTGAACTGCAAAAGGGCCCTCAGGCCCAGGCATTAAGCCCCGTCTTCTCAAAACAGGGAAGTCAGGCACAACGAAACAGGCGTTTTGCAAGAGGCAACTTTGGTGATTTTCTGTGCTCAGTCGAACATGCAGAAAAATCTGCAATTTTGAGAATTCATAGATGAGGTTGTGTTCTTTCCAGAAATAATAATAGACCATTTACAAAAAATCATTTAGACTGCGAAATAATCGTTGCGCCGATTCAACACATTTTCCATTTTTGCCACTAAGCCATGCCTGGGCCAACTAAAAAAGTACTCCAAATTCAGTGAGTTTTCACGCTTAGAAGAATGCGTGAAAAAACCTAAAAATTGGAGTACTCGTAGATTTTGTTGTGATCTTTCCAGGAAAAACGTTAAATAAATTTTTAAAAATCATTCCAACTGCGAAATAAATTGTGGCCGCAATTTGACCCGTATTTCAATTTTGCCATTCAGTCTTTCTCTCTCTCTCTCTCTCTCTCTCTCTCTCTCTCTCTCTCTCTCTCTTTGTGTGTGTCTCTCTCTCTCACTCGTATCAACAACTG